CCTGTTACCCTTCGTGGAGGAGGCTAGGCCGACCACCAGTATTCTCCGTCGAACCCTGTCCTGGGCAATCCTTCCCAGTTGCCACTCATCGTTTACATGTCTTCTTCCGATTCCTGACGCAGTGTTTTTCGGTCTTCCTCTTTTCCGTTTCCCTTCAGGATTCTAAGTTAGCGCTTGCTTCATTACGCGTCTGTAATTTATTTTTGTCTGAATATAAACAGTGAGTCACGTTTGATCAAAGCGATTTGGTTCACTCACCTTTGCGCATCACTTCGTTCCTTTGATTGTCTGTCTAGATCAATGAGTATATGAAATGTACGCATTCAGAATTAATTCTCGTTTTTGGCTTGTTTTATTCCGTTATACTCTTTTTTATTATTTATTTAAACACATAAATATCGGTACAAGGATGCACCAGATGCATATGCGCCGAACAAATCTCATTCGATTTGTGTGAGGGCTGTGATACTGCCCAGGTGCCCAAACTGAAACAGGTGGTTTTCTTAAGGGGCCACACCCGGAGCCTTTGACCTAAGGTCTGATCCACAAGGCAGTGGAGCATTGTAAAAAAGATGAAGTCTCATGGTAGCCGGTCACCAACGATTTATTCATACACCATTTATTCCCTCGAGATATTGGATCTCATGTTCACCATTGGTTTTGAATCAGGGTTTTCCAACTCCCCTAGGTGGACTTTCCGTGTCCACCAACCCGGTTAAAGCATCGGACATTCGCTTTTTGTCTTCTCGATTTCGTAAACAACAATAATGTCACGAGAAGGCAGTGAGTAGGACTTCCGTGGCAGAGGCTATATACGCGTGGCCATGTAAAAGCATTTCAAGAGGTAGAGCGAACTTTCCTCACTCTCGGCCGTACCAGGGCATTTGGGGGCTTCTTAAGTGTAACACCGATGATAAGAGGAATGCCTGTCAATGAAAGGTATAGAAGATTGAACTGAAGAAAACAGAAAGGGAAACATGAGTGAATGAAGAATTGGAGGAATCATGAAGGATGTGAAAGACAACTGATCGAAGGTTCACAAATGCAGTATTAAACGTATGGCTTTCAAATTTTACAAACGAACTCCGTAACTTTATATTAAACAATAAATTGGTCTTCCTCAACTGAATCTTTGTTTATTTTACAACTGGGTATGGGGTCAGTTATCTCATCTTTTATAAAACAATCTTGGTAAGTGGTAACCAGAATAAACAAATTCAACAATTATTTATTTTTCACAGTTGAGATCATGGGTCAATTGAAGCTAGAGCACCACAGAAAACCTGGAAGCACTGGACTGCCGTTTCGTCCTATTATGGGACTCCTCAACAGTGCGCATCCACGACCCCGCACTCGCGAGATTCGAATCCAGGACCTACCATTCTCGAGCCAGAGCCCTTAATTAATCTATTTACAATACAACAAATATTTGGTTACCATAAAATAATGTTCGAATGCTTTTCGAATGATTAGTTAAACAATAAAATAATCTATTCAATAGATTATTATGCATATAATTGAAAATTTTAGACTACAGTAACATTCTGAACCAATAGGATAGATTAGTTCAAGGACAAATGATAAGTTGCATATGCCATATTGCATTTGTTAATAGTTATTTGGTTTGATTTACTGAAGTAACAGATATGCATTATTCGTTAGAAATTCTGAGGGTGATCGATCTATGTACAATTATGGATGGGTTTATAAAAAGATTTGAATTAACAGTACCAGATTGAGGTTGCATATCGGTACCAGACTTGGATCACCAGCGAACACCATGGATGCCTTTATTATTATCATGGTTAACAGACTATCACATCGATGTATAGTCAAGCTAGTTTCTTCTATTATTTGATCCAATAAAACGTTTCATGTATGTATATGTACAACATATTGAACATTGGATGTATTGACTTTCTTAGTCAATTTTTACATGTGCACAATTAAAACGTAAATGGAAACTATGAAATTAGTTTCAGGACAGAAAACAAAATGATACATATAAAGGGGCTGGTTACCAAGGCACTTTTATTTTTCACCAATAGTCTCTTGATAAATGATTAGTCAGATTATATACATTGTGTGTCATATCTATATGTATAGTTAAAAAGTCTTGTATGATCAGTGATAAACAAGGAACCTGACACATATGTGCATCGTTCCAAGTTACCACAGCATATCTGCAGAGTTAGATAGAAACTAAAATGAAAAATGTGGTGGAAGTAGTAACGGTTTCAGTGACAGTAGAAAAAATAAGGTATCGACAATATAACCCGACCCACCAACAATTGAAGAGATCAGCATGGCCATTAGACAAATCAAGAGCGGCAAAGCAGCGGGACCAGACAGCATCCCGGCAGAGGCACTGAAGTCAAATGTAGCAGCAACTGCCAAGATACTACACATCCTCTTCAGTAAGATTTGGGATGAAGAACAAGTACCAATAGACTGGAAAAAAGGACTTCTGATCAAGATACCAAAGAAAGGCGATCTGAGCAAGTGCGACAACTACAGGGGCATCACTCTCCTCTCAATACCAGGAAAAGTCTTCAACAGAGTATTGTTAAACAGGATGAAGGATTCCGTGGACGCCCAACTTCGAGATCAACAAGCTGGATTTCGTAAGGATAGATCGTGCACAGATCAAATCGCAACTCTGCGGATCATTGTGGAACAATCAATCGAATGGAACTCATCACTCTACATCAACTTCATCGACTACGAGAAGGCATTTGATAGCGTGGACAGGACGACACTATGGAAGCTTCTTCGACACTACGGCGTGCCTGAGAAGATAGTCAATATAATACGGAACTCCTATGATGGACTAAACTGCCAAATTGTCCACGGAGGACAACTCACCGACTCGTTTGAAGTAAAGACCGGTGTAAGGCAAGGTTGCTTACTCTCACCCTTTCTCTTTCTCCTGGTCATCGACTGGATCATGAAGACGTCAACATCTGGAGGAAATCACGGGATACAGTGGACAGGCAGGATGCAGCTTGATGATTTAGACTTCGCGGATGATCTGGCTCTTCTATCACAAACGCAGAAGACGAACTGTGTAGCAGCAGCCTCAGCAGCAGTATGTCTCAATATAAATAAAGAGAAAAGCAAGACTCTCCGATACAATACAATATGCACCAATCAAATTACACTTGATGGAGAAGCTTTGGAAGATGTGGAAACCTTTACATATCTGGGCAGCATCATTGATGAACACGGTGGATCAGATGCAGATGTGAGGGCGCGGATCGGCAAAGCGAGAGCAGCATACCTACAACTGAAAAGCATCTGGAGATCAAAACAATTGTCAGCCAACACCAAAATTAGAATTTTCAATACAAATATCAAGACAGTTCTACTGTATGGGGCAGAGACGTGGAGAACTACGAAAGCCATTATCCAGAAGATACAAGTGTTTATTAACAGTTGTCTACGCAAGATACTTCGGATCAGATGGCCAGACACTATCAGCAACAAGTTACTGTGAGAGGCAACAAACCAGATTCCAGCAGAGGAAGAAGCGCTAGAAGTGGGTTGGGCACACTTTGAGATAATCAGCTAATTATGTCACAAGACAAGCCCTCACATGGAATCCTGAAGGTCAACGGAGAAGAGGAAGACCGAAGAACACATTACGCCGAGAAATAGAGACAGACATGAGAAGAATGAACAGGAACTGGAAAAGAAGGCCCAGGACAATGCGGGTTGGAGAAAGCTGGTCGGCGGCCTATACTCCATTGGGAGTAACAGGCGTAAGTAAGTAAGTAATATAACCCGAGAAAAAATGATAAATCCATGGGATAAAATGTATAGGGTAATTTTAAAACTGAAGATTTAAGGAAAGTAAAACAATTAATGCGTCTGGGTTATTTCAACTGATTGTAAGATATGTTAACCAACGTTTTCAACTATTAGTTACGAAAATCACACTGACCAGGTAGTCTGCACCCACCTTCATGACGCAACCCAACAGTTAATTACCTCAAAAAATGGTACCACTTCCTGGTCTGACTACACCTATCTTCTAACCTACTCCTAGACTAGCAAAACTAACAGGTTGAGGTAGGCGGTTGGGCATATGTAGTACTTGTCTCAACTACCTCGGTTGATAAAGATTCACTGCCTTAATTATTGTGAGATAGAAATTAAAGCGAAACAACTGAAAGGACTTTCTGGATAAAAAAAGCAACATAATGTACGTCGCAGACGGATTTTAGTTTAATAGTTATTAAAAACCAGGAACACTCGGTCATCTCCTCTGTGTTATTATAGTACTCTTAAGTAGTGCGTATGCATGGCCTCACCAATGATTAAACTTATGACCTTCAGGTCTCTCACTAAGTGCCTAAACTTGAAACCACCAAGTCAGCATCTAATGATTCGCGTTTCTAACTTCAATCAATTTGTGATATTGCAAGACCATCTGCCAATGTTAATGATGAATAACTGTCTCACATACGATATGGTCATATAGTCATAGCATCTCCCTAGGACTCCTGGAGTCACCTCCCAAATTTAGTAACCAGCAAGCAAGCATAAATTAATTTTCATAGTTGAAATCATGAGTCAATTGAAGTATGACAACCATGGAAAACCTGGAAGCACTGGACGGCCGTCTCGTCGTATTGTGGGACTCCTCAGCAGTGCGCTTCCACAATCCCGCACTCACGAGCGAGATTCGAACTCAGGACCTACCAGTTTCGTGCCAGAGCACTTAACCGATAGACCACTGAGCCGGCATCCGATGGTGTTAATGTCTAACTTCAACCAATCCACGAAGTTTGAGCAACCGTTCACCGATTGTCTTCAGTGACTTTTTATCTCACAACAGATGTGCACTGCTGAGGAGTCCCATAATAAGACGAAACACCCGTCCAGTGCTTTCAGGTTTCCATGGTGATCTAGCTTCAATTGACTCATGATTTCAACTATAAAATTACTAAAATCTCCACAAAACTCCTTCTGATCATATGATGACACAACAAACGATTATCATGAAATAAATATATTTTCTTTCTTTGATAAATCTGAAATCTTTGCATAACAAAGTCAGCTATACAAACATATATATATACACTCACAAAAGAGACTTACTTACTTACACCTGTTACCCCTCGTGGAGGAGCATAGGCCTCTCACACAAAAGAGAACAATAATAATAATCTAAATAATAATGGAAGCCATAAATAAAAAAATGAAAGGAATATAAATTAGGGAACAATAAAAACCAATAGCAGGAGTAGTAATAGTAGATGGGTAAGATGCTGTATCATCAACATTATCCAGGATCATAATTCATCTTTCATATATTTATTTAAATGTAGTTTATCAGTGATCATTGGTGATGATGATGATGATGATGAGATAGTATATTGTTTTTCATAAATAACTGGCCATTCAGTTAATGATTGACAAGTAGATAAATCTTTATGATAATGATATGATTGATATAAATGTATTGGTCCATTTGGGCATAAATTATTTAAAGTTGTATTGGATAAAAAACCCATAATTGAACGTTCTTCAATAATACGAAAAGTAAATGTTGATGAACTAGTTCCAATGAAATATCTTCAAAGAAATAATAAATAGTGAAAGAAGATACTTAAGAAGTACATTATGTGACTTACTTAGTATTGTTTGTTTAAATCTTCCCATTGATGTTTTTAGGACTGCAACTGGTCAGTCTCTAATTGGCATATGTGCATACTGTGCGTATTGCCTCGATGTAGCCTAAATTCACAAGCATAGTAAGCAAAGATGGATAGTGGCTAGCAGTGGAATCCAGTTTGACGCGCGTTTCGTCCTATTTGGAACTCGTCAACTGGATGTACCTGTATCTCAGAGTTGATGTTCACTTAGGGACTCGAATCCAGTACCTTTCGCTTCAAACGCCATCGCGTTATCCACTCGGCCACTGATTCCACTGCTAGCCACTATCTATCTTTGCTTACCATAATATGATTTAGTTTAAATAGATAAAACTTAACCATATATAACTAAATATATAAATATAAGCAAAGATGGATAATGGTTTAGAATACTTGTGACTTCAGGCAATATCAAATCAATCCGCACAGGATGGATATACACCGATAAGAGACTAATCAATTGCAGTGGTAAACATCAACTTTGCTCTCCTTGCACAAGCAAGTGGCTATCAAGACTCATTAGCTAAGTGGATGACGTTTGAAGCAAACGATAATGAGTTCGAGTCCCACAGTAAACATCAATTTTGAGATGCAGGTGCATCCATCCGACGAGTCCCAAATAGGACAAAACGCGCGTCAAATTGGATTCCACTGCTAGCCACTATCCATCTTTGTTTATGATGCTTGTGAATTAAGGTTATATCGAGGCAATACGCACAGTATGCATACATGCCAATAAGAGATTGATCAATGGGAAGATACAAACAAACAATATAAAATGAGTTTATATAAATATAAAACAAAAGAATATGTTGTTTTAAAATGATTCATTAACATATTTTAAGTTTTCTACAGGTTCATAGACGTTATCGTTAGAATATAAAATTATTATACAAATACACTACGCTTCGATTCTAACCCTAATGACTCTAAGCCTAACCCATAACTACTGTAAACCGAAATCTCGTAATCATAACATCAAACTTCTACAAACATTACAATGAAATATCATTCGATATAGTGCCTCTGTATACTTATGTACCGACATGTCACTCCCATATTCATATGCGAATGTTTTTGTAAACACAACAACTCTTATAAAAGGATGAGAATTTAGAAAGTCAGGACTATTTTTCAGGTTTATTATTATTTATATTTTGTTATATAATTAGTAGATAAGTTTATTGTGATGCTCCTATATTCCGTTTATTGTAAGCTTTCGGTGGACCCATCAACTGTCTCTCTACAATTTAATATTTGTTAATTATTACTAGTTAATTATGCGTTGCATGCCCTGTCCTCTACCATTCTGATAAGGTAAAAAAAAATTCTCTAAAATTTGATTTTAGAAAAGACATAGCGGGTAACATTTTAACATGACGAATCAGAAGATTTGTTGGAAGGACATTTCATGCTGCCAAGATACATTAATCAACTTCTAGTGTGATTAGTTAATCATCATTTTGATGTTATGCTGACGTAATTCGATTAATATAATCTTCCTCTTTGTATTTCCGTAGGTTAAACTTGTCTTGGTCACACATCTTACCGTTATTACTATGCACTTGCAAACACTTTGAAAAACTTATACAACATCCACCCCTATTTACTAATTCGATATATTACGTGATTTCTAATTTGTAATGACAGTATATTAACTCCCTTATCTCATTGTAACCATGTTTATTTTGATCTATAATCTTTACACTTTCAATTCATATAATAAACTAATTCAAGTCAATAATTTAGTTGATCATCTCAACGTAAACGATTTCATTTTATTTTATAACTATAAATGTAAACAATGTACTCTGCCATATCCCTGACCACCTTTTGGATTATTAATTTGGATATATGAATTGTAGAACCTGAAAAGAATATTCTTAGTTCATACGTTAGTGTTTTAATATGATGAGAATTTTCAGCGACTAACATTCATCCTTCTAAATTCACATTATTATTAATATAACTCCACATGTAGCTCTTCAAAAGTTAATGTCGGTTCCAAGACTAAGTAAAGAAGAAAGGTTGAACATGGGGTCAGCAACCGCATCTAATACGAGGGATTAAAGTGCAAATTCGTGCATGGAGGACAGCTGACAGATGCATTTCCAATAAGGACCGGAGTCAAACAAGGCTGTCTACACTCCCCTTCCTCTTTCTTCCGGTGATAAACTGGATTATGAAGACTTCGACATCTGAGTGGAAACACGGAATACAATGGACATGTCAGAATTAATTAGGCGATTTGGACTTCGCAGATGACCTAGCTCTCCTACCTCATACACAAAAACAAATACAGACGAAGACAACAAATGTAACAGCAGCCTCTGCATCAATAGACCTCAACATAGACAAAGGAAAAAGCAAGATTCTCAAATACAACACGGAGAACACGAAGCCAATTCAGTCATATTTGTTGGCGAAATTCTGGAGGAGGTGGAAACATTCACGTACCTGAGAAGCATCGTTATTAAACAAGGAGGGCCTGTACAGACGTGAAGGCGAGGATTGGCAAAGGAAAGGAAGCATTTCTACAATTGAAGAACATATGGAACTCAAAACAACTGTCAACTTCATTATGAGAATCTTTAATACGAACGTCAAGACAGTCTTACTGTATGGAGCTGAAACGTGGAGAACCACTACATCCATCGTCAAGAAGGTACAAGTATTTATAAACAGTTGTCTACGCATGATACTCAACATTCACTGGTCGGATACTATCAGCAACAACCTACTGTGGGAGAGGACAAACCAACTTCCAGCTTAAGAGGAAACTAGGAAAAAACGTTGGAAGTGGATCAGACATACATTAAGGAAATCACTAATGTGCATTACAAGGCAAGCCCTAACTTGGAATCCGGAAGGGAAGAGGAAAAGAGGAAGGCCTAAGAACGTCGGGAATTGGAAGTAGACATGAAAAGGATGAATGTTGACTGGAAAGAACTGGAAATGATTGCCCAGGACAGAGTTGGATCGAGAATACTCGTGGGCGGCCTATGCTCCTTGACGACGGGTAACAGGCGTAAGTAAGTAAGTAAGTAAGTAATATACTAAAAGAAACTTTTGTCTCACTAACTTAACAATGATTAAACTATAATTACTATAAGAATGAAAAACGTCATATTCTCTTATCATATACTATAATCTATAAGTAAATTTCTAAATGAATGCCAACTAACTAACATAGTAAGCCTGAAATAAATCTATTCAACTTCACTACTACAAAAAAAGAAGCAAACAAACATTGGAATAAAAGTAAATTCTAAATGAAATAACCCCCCCCCTCCTAAGAAATAACTTAGTTGCCAATGTACATAACGTAATCAACAATATACATATACATAGATGTTCTATTTTAAGACATTTAAACAAAAAAGAAAAAGTAAAATGAGTGAATTATTGAATATTCACAGTTATAATTAAATTTCTATTATTATCAGTAGAAGTAAATTAGTAGTATGAATAGATATCAGCGAAAAAAATAAACATCCATAGTAATATTACAAGTTTATACTAAATAATAGACAGAATTTACTACTATTACTGTGCTTACTAAATTTGATCAAACCAAAGAAATAAAAACGGATATCGGCTAACAGTGGATATCGAGGCAATACGCATAGTATGCACATATGCCAATAAGAGAATGACCAGTTACAGTTTTGACACATGAATGGGAAGATTTAAACAAGTAATACTAAGTGAATTTAAACTTCACCCCAAGTGGCTATCAGGACTCAATAGCTGAGTGGATAACGCAATGGCGTTTAAAAAGAAAGGTACTTGGTTCGAGTTCCAGAGTGAACATCAACGTTGAGATGTAAGTACATCCAGCTAACGAGTTCCAAATAGGACGAAACGCGCTTCAAACTGGATTCCACTGCTAGCCACTATCCATTTTTGCTTATAATGCTTGCGAATTAAGGCAATATCGATGCAATACACACAGTATGCATATATGCCAATAAGAGACTGATAAAGTGCAGTGCTGAACATCAATGTGAAGATTCAAACAAGTAATACAAAGAAATAAAATCACTGTATATAATAATAAACATTTGTAATTAGTGTAATTAGTGATTATTTATGGGGAAACGATGTTGAAACTAAATCAAGGTAATAAAGGCAACAATTACGAGTGTGATGATAATAATGATGCTGACAATGAACATAAATCAAAATGAAGAAGAAATTTAGAATAGAATAGATAGATGGAAAGAGAGGAGCATTGATCAATGAGAAGATTATAGTAGATATATCACACATACATACACAATCGGCTTTGTTCCATTGGAACTGGGTATTCCCATCCTATCTAATGATGATACATTCATATATATATATACAGATTACCAATCTACATAATGTACAATGCACATACACATATATACAAGTAAAAATATTTTTTTATGGAAAATAATTCAACATGTTAAAGTGATAATATAACCGGGCATACAAGTCAGTCACAACTACTTCACTCCCTATCATTAGTTCAGGTGTCGATACAACCCAATCCTGAAGTAACATTTTGCATTTCGAGGGGGGAGAATCACATCCCGAACATACCTGGATTGTTGACCGGGTATATTTACTATAATCTCGTATACTTGGGACTTTGAATTACATTATTTTGTACAAAAATTTATATGATCACTATCTCCTTATCCGAAATCAATATAAATGTTAACAAAGTTGGAATAAAAAATCTAATAATTGATAGTTAACAATTTCTTCAACTATTATAGTCATCATTTTAATGTAATGAAAGTTGATAATAAACTAGTTTAAAGACAAGATTTATTACCCATCTATCTATCTGTCCATATATATATATATATATATATATATATATATATATATTATTTACCCCCAATGGAGCATAGACCACCCAACAGCATTCTACAACCCACTCAC